CCCCTCCTCTCAGTTCCTGCCCCGCCCCAGGCCTTCAACACCCTATTGTCTGTGTCCATAGGTAATGCATAGATGCATATAAGATCTTTGGTTAATCTCTTCCCACACCCACCTCATCCTCATCCCTTCCCTCTGAGATTCATCAGTCTGTTCCATGTTTCCATGCTTCTGATTCTATTTTATTCATCAGTTTATTTTGTTCATTTGGTATTAAAATTTCATTGCAGGGAGTCATGACTAGGAAAAAAAATGTCAAAAAAGTCTACTTATGGGAGCAAAAATGGAGAAAAAAGATTTGAGAAGCACTAGTCTAAAAGAAAAAAAAATAGAATTAAGGTAAGTTTAAGTGCTGGTACTGGCAGGATGGGGTGTGAGCTTTCTGGGGTCTGGATTTTGCATCTTATGAGACCAGCAGACCGGAGGGCACAGGAAGAAGAGAGCAGAAAACTGACTCCCCCAACACACAGCGATGCACCCGGCAGTGTGGGCCCCAGATGGCTCGTCTAGACACAGGCTCCCTGGGGGGCAAATCCCAACTCTGGCACATACAAGCTTAATGACCTTGAACAAGGTGCATAACCTTCCACCCTATGTTCATCTGTAACGTGAGGATGAGAATGTAAGCGCACAGGGTTTGGGGGAAACTAAATGAGGTCACCTGTGCTAAATGAGAAAACACCTCGTGTCTGGCGCATAATTGTCTTTCAGTCGTGTTATCTGGGAGCATTAGTCACCTGGTTTTTCCAGAGGCTCTCACTGGATGTTTGCGCCCCCCACCCCCTGCAGTGAGCCAGGCAGAACCCCTGCTGGGTGCTTCTAGAAGGGGCTGCTGGACCGGGCACTGCCCTTGGGGTGGCATATTAGGGGGGTCTTCCTCAGAAGCTCCTGCCCATCTGTCTACAGCTGCTAAAGTGGCAAATACCTGTGGCCCCAAAAGTGACTCTAACTCCATTCCTAATTAAATTCCTAACTTCATTCCTAACCTTAATCATCCAATAATGACCCTAAATTTATTATAACCCCAAATCCTAACTTTAGGCCTCACTCCAACTCCTAACCCACCCCATCCTTACCCCAATTCTAACCTGGGCCTTCACCTTTGCTCTAATTCTCATCCATAATCCTCATTCTTTTTGGGGGGGGGGCGAGGGGGGAGAACCATTGAAACGACTCCCTGCCTACCCCCCCCCCCCCCCCCC